GGAATGGAGGTTTTCCTTGTCCCTCCTTTTGCTATTGATGTATTTGTAGAAGCACTTCTTGTTATCCCTGACAGAAATGGCAAGATTGAGTACAAATTGTGCCTTTGTCTCTCTAATTTTCTTTCTACGTGACCTAACTATATTCCTAAACTCTTCCTGAGTAGACAGTCCTTTTTTCCATAATCAGTAAGTTCTCTTTTTTACCTTAATTTCCTTCAAAATCTCCCTGTTCAGCGAGGTTGGTTGTCCTCCCCACCCCTTGCCTTTCGGCAGAGTGGGACAGCCTGTTCTGTGCAGTCAGGACTTGCTTCTTGAAGCACGTCCATCCCTCCTGTACTCCCTTGTTTTCAAGGCTTGTTTCCCAGGATACCCTCTGAACCAGTCTTCTGAACAGGCCAAAATCTGCCCTCCAGAAGTCCAGCTTAGAGGTTTTACTGATGGCCCTCCTTGCATCCCTGAGCATTGAAAACTCTCTTATTTCATGGTCACTGTGGCCCAGGTGGCCTCTGGCCACCACATCTCCCACCAGCCCCTCCCTGTTTGTGAGCAGCAGGTCTAGCAGGGTCCCACCACTGCTGGGCTCATTTACCAGCTGGAACACGAAATTATGCTCTATATGCTCTAAGAATCTCCTAATTCCTAATCCAGGAATCTGCCTCTCCTCCACCGTGTGGAGTTCCCAGCAGACATCAGGCAGGTTGAAGTCACTCACAAGAACAAGGGCTGGCGATTTTGAGACATCTGCCAGCTGCTTGTAGAATAATTCATCACCCTTATCACCCTGGTTGGGTGGTCTAGAACAGACTCCCACCAGGATATCAGCCTGGTTGGCCTTCCCCCTGATTCTGATCCACAGGCACTCAATCTTATTGTTACTGACTGCAAGTTCTGCAGAGTCAAGAGACTCTCTAACATACAGAGTCACCTCTCCACCTCTCCTACCCTGCCTGTCCTTTCTGAAGAGCTTGCAGCCACCACCCATGGCAGCACTCCAGTCATGCTAGCCATCTCCACACGTTTCTGTGATGTCACCATCACAGCTGTCCTGCTGTCCGATGGCTTCCAGTTCCTCCTGTTCGTTACCCACACTGTGTATTTACAGCTCATTAAAATTAATGAGAATTTCTTTTTCAATCTTTTTTAATGTAAATTCAAAACAAGGAATATTCTTCCACGGTTCTCTGATTTTCTGCTATTGTACTATTAGCAGAACTTATTTGCTACAGATATTACCTCTTCTCTGCAATTTATAGTATCAACTAATTATGCATTATGTGTATTTTAAAGAACAGGAATATAACTTTTCTCTTATGTGTTCATGGCAGCTGGACAAAAAAAAGGAAATACAGAATTTATAAAAACAGCAAGTTATTTTTAAGATTAATTCAGGACTTACCATCAAGGTCCTTGCAACACTACAACCCAGTGTACCAGCTCCTAGCAGCAGACATTTGGCAGACACAATCTTTTCCAAATCCAGAGTAGGCACCAAACGCCAGCACATCAATTTCAAATTAAGATCCACGGATGATTCTGCTAACCTAGACCATGAAATAAATAGCAACACGCTTCTGAATGCTCTTGTGATTCTCCAACAAAGCAATTACTTGTTTTTCAAATGAAGAAGTTCAAGACTTACTTTTTAAAAGAGAGAAAGAATTCAGTGATTTAACACATAGGCAATATGATAGACAAAGTCTCCCAAGCATATTTCTACCTAATAATAAGGTGCATGGCAAGGACAGTGGAAAAACATTTTTTATGCTCCTTCTTCACTCATGACACATGCACAATATGCAAAAAGAAGATGTCAAAAATCATTCTAAAGAAATACACACACAGTTCCTGATACTCAATTTCCTTGGAACCTCTTATTGTAACCAATGTGTTGGCCCAATAACATTCCTAGAAAAGCTGCGACTGCACTGCTTAGAAACAGAAGAATAAATCACTAGTGAAGAAACAGTAGAAAGACAGTGGCATTTTAAAAGAAATAACTTGTAGATATTTGAAAAGATGGTTATTAACAAGGAAATTTAGCTAGGAAAATGTTCTCTTCCAAAAGCCTTATATACTGAAAAGCTATCAGTTGGCTACTCTGAACTTGCTGTAAAAATCTACTAAAGCCACATACTTCCTTTGGAATTGGAACAGGTCTCTAAGAGCTTCTGAAAAAGGTATCAATCCAAAATTAAAATTTTAGTAACAAAACCGATGCAAACATGAAAATAAAACCAGTGTCTCAGATGAGATTCCTGTTAAGATCATTTGTCCATCAACTATTTTTTCTTTTTTAAATTAGTTTCCTGTATCCAGTTACATCTGCCCTTAACATGAAATATTACACTTACCCCCTAACGAATCTGGTCAGTTCTTTGTGAAAGTTTTAGAAGGAAAATGAGGTAGGTAATCCATGTTCAAGTTAGTGTTGGATTTTTATATTCATCAGAACACAAGGTGTTAAAACTCTCATCAATCAAGTCATCACAGCTCTCAGATTCCTAAAAGTTTCATTCCCTTATACATGATATAAAAAATTTTGCAGTATCCACTAAATTATCTGTTCAACAAGGTTTGAAGATGGGAACTGTCAAGGCTGGCATAATACCAACATCCTCTGCGGGAAACAACAGAAGTGAGCAAGCATAAAATAAAGAAGTTACATTTACCTATAATTAAGAGTCCTGAGATGAACTTTCTCAAAGGAAGTATGAATATACCAAGAATTGCCACAATTGCAAGACAAAAACAGCTTTGCTTGATGGGTAAAATGTTAACCTGAATCATTAGATCACACTGTTTCCAAGCCAAGAACACAGATGCAGTTAGTGAAAGCAGATGAGCCAACAGGCTCTGTAACACAACTCTTCTCAATCCATTATGTGCAGAATGATAAAAATCACTAAAGTCATCTTTCCTGTCACACTCTAACAATTACCGAAGGCTGAACTTTTCTCCATGCTTACTACCGTTAACAACTTGCAGGTTACAGAATTCAGTGAAAACCACAGGCCTGTAGCACTATGGCATACATTCCACTCAGTTCTAAATACAATGCATTTGAAATTTTAAGCTAAAGTTAAAAATGGCAAAAATTTCAGCTGCAGGCAGTGCACTGTTCCATTAAGGTTCTTCTCTCCAAAAGGACTGCCAAAACAATATGCAGCATATATGTTACTGTATATTCTTACCTAAGAGACAGATGCTCCTTGCTTTTCACACTTCAGCTTGTTATGGACTGAGCTCAAGTAAAGAAAACTACTGGAATTTAAAAGATAAAACCCAAACCTTTTTGGATCCATGCATTCACTGAGATTCACCATCCTTGGACCCATGCCTCCCTTCTGGTTTTTCTCCCATCCAACAGCTTTTGGACAATCTGTTTGACATATGAAGAGAGAAAAAAAAAAAGAAAAAAACAAAAGAAAGAATTAAAACCTTAATATCACAGGATAGAAAAAAGAAATTTTGTTGGATTTAACACTGTTGGAAAAACACTAATTCTAAACTTTTAAGTAAATAATCTGTATTCTTAACCACCTAGTGCATGTTGCTACACAAATCTTGCTGATTTACATCAACTGAAAACATTGATTCTCAGAGATGTGCTTTGCTCTCAGGCGTCCCACGTGCTGCTCTTGCCTGCTCAGCTTGCTTCAAACCTAAAGAGACAGCATCATTCCCCATCAAGCCTCCAGATCTTTAACGTCATGCTCAGTAAATTCATAAGTCAGAACTGAGTAAACTTTGCCAATTTCAATCATTTCTTCATGTTCCTTAGACATTATCTGTGAATTCAGAGGATTAGATATCCTAAATATATATAATTAAACAATACATAATGATATATACAAAGCATTCAGAACTTTTTGGATGAGGTACAGAAATGTTGTGATACTGTCCTTTAAGTCTGAAATTACGCTTTAGCATTACAAATACATCTGGAATATGTCACTAAAATAATCTAAAATACATCTGGATATGTCACTATGGGATTGAAGAAAGAGTTTCACTCTGCTCCAGGCTTTTACCATTTTAGCAATATACAGGAAGTTTGCATCATATAAATTCACCATTATATGCATTTTTTCTACCTGAGGAACTGTGTACAAATTTAACAAGAAAAAACTAATTGCCTGGGTTTTTTATATTTCATATGATATCAGAAGAACTTTACTTGTTTTTAAATTAGAAACACAATTAAAGTATGAAAAAATTAAAAGAGAATATGCTCTCTTCTTTCTTTGTTGAAGACGGAACCATTTCCTTTATAGACATTTTACAGAAATTCAAACAATTTAAAATTCCTTTGAAATAACTTAGTATAAAGCAATGACTTTATTTTTCTATCTCTGTGATTGAGGAGGGAGAAAAAAAAATAGGAATTTTTTTAAACTGGATTACCTGGGCCAAGGGGTTTCTCTGGAAGTTTTATTTCAAAGATAATGCTGTGTGTTATGTCCCTCACCCCTTGCATGGTCCTGTCTCTGAAGCAGAGCACTTCAACCGTCTGAAGAATGTTGCCCCTGCCATTAATAAAAAAAGATAATAGAGGCAGACATGCAACTTCTTTAACAGAAGAGGAACTGCTTTTAAACAACATTTCATAAAGGTTTAGTCCCTTGTAGATTCTGAGTAAGGCTTTTTCTCAGGCATAGAAATAGAACAGAAATAGAAACAACTCCTTAGCATATGAAAATAACTAGTTTGTTGTGAATGGTTGTATGGAATGACACTGTCAGCCCATCCTCCCTCATATACACAATGCTACTGGACAAACTGTGTATTTAGAGGAACAAAAAGCAGGGAATCACTAGAGCAAATCTCAGGTGACATGATGGACTTTGCTGTGTCACAAGCAAGATCCTCTTGGTTCTCAATATGGTAACATTTTTTCTCCTTATGGTTCAAACCCCCAAATCAAACAGTTAGAACTTGAATGCCTAAAATCCCCTGAATCCCAAGAATGTGCAAAGCTCTCAGCTCTTACACATCCCTGTACACTGGCAGCCCAGAAAACACACCCAACCCTGCATCTCTTCTCCTGAGTGCTTTGGAATGAAATGTGACAGTCAAAACTATGGAAGTGCAGCTTAATTACAATTTTGTTACAGCAACACAAATTTATTTGATACTTTAAATTATACTTCTTTTCCAAAAAACAGTTTAAATTATACTTTTTTCTCCCAAAAACCAGAGCAAAAAACTGTTCTCCCATCTTCTGCCTAATAAAAAAACTCAAGATGGTACACTACAAGAAAACCTAAGAATATATAATTTTGAGTAGACCTCAAATTGAGGTCTACTATTACTTAACACTAAATGATATAAATTCATAGAATACTTTAAACAATATTTGAAGCAGCTAGAGGGTATTGGCAGGGTTTGAAGCATATATTTCCAGGCACATGCATTCATGTGAGGATTCTGATTAACAGGAACTCGTGGCTCACAGAAGTAAAAACCAGATTAACACATAAAATCAGAATCACTCAAGGTGAGGCATGTTGAGGGTAAAAGTAAATTCTCAGATGGGTGATACAAGTAAAGTTCCATGGGGAGAAAAATGCCTAATTTGGCATCAACCAATAAATTAGCTTTGAGTGAAAGAATAAAATAGATACCAATTGTGGGCTGCCAGGATCAGGAAATTTCTCAGTGGCCATCCTGGATAGTGGGATAAATTACATGGATCATAAACTCCAACTGTCACCTGCAAATAAAATTGACCTGCATGAGAAGTCATCTATTCATACATATATTCAGTTCACAGTAAAAGTTATGTGGCATTTTTAATTTAAAACATTTTATTTTAAACATTTAAAAGTTATCTGGACAGGGAAGGCCTACACACACATTTTGCATATTTACAAATATTTAACATATGGTTACACTAGATTTCAGTCAAGCATTTGCGACAGCTTTGACATTAATTTAGTTTGGCCTGTTTATGGACATTCAATGTTCACTCCAGTAAATGCACCTTCATTACTTTCCTTAAAAACACCATTACGAGAGAAGCCCATCAACCGGAGTCTTGCTTCCAAAACAAAATTCTGTACTGACTTTGAAATGATCAGAAAGTGAAGGGACACAGGCCAGCAAGACAACAAATCAAAGGAAAACCAGTCTAAAAATCACTTGTACAACCAGCCTTCAAGATGGTACCATTGTGCCCAGCTCAGTACAACAGACAATTTTCAAACCATTTGAAAATTAGACATTTATAGTTTATAAAAAGATTTTAAATTCTCATTACCTTTCCCCCTTGGTCTTGAAAGAAAGCATCCCACTTTTTCAATAGAGATATCATGACAGAATTGTCATGATACTTGATTAAAAAATAAGGCAGGGCTGTAACCCCCTCTTTCTGGCAAAGATCATCATATGCTTTCTGAAGTGCTTGAATCTGAAAGCAAAAAGGCAACTGTGACCAACACTTTTAACCACAGTAACAGAGATAAAAAAATTAAGTTGCTAAAACACCATTTGTCAACGTAAATTTATTTTACTAGGTGCATTTTCAGTGTTTAGTTAAAATTCTGGATCATGACTATTAGGTATTTTTACACTATTTACCACTACAGAACTAAGAAAGGTCTTCCAAGAAGCGAAATGAGCATTTTTCACTGAAAAAACCAAAACTTTTTCCCATTGATTACTATTTCATTAAAAAGCCATTCAAGGTTTTGCATTAACTTCTGTCAAAGCAAAACAGCACATGTGGGCATGTTGATTTTTTTGGTTCTTTTACACTGTAATATGAAAGAAACTCAAAATTGTTATCTTTTCTCTTTAAAAGAAAATATCCTCCCAATTAACTTCTTTTCCTTATCCAATCATGTATTTTATTAACAATTTTGTAATTTTAATGGCTTGGCTCTGCCAAGGGATGCCCTTTTAAAAAAGTTTCTTTTATAATCAGTTTCAAACACATAGCTACATATTCATTAAGTTGTATATAAAAAAAATTAACATAACTGCTACTTTAAGAAGTGTTTGCCACATCATTTGCTTCATTGCCTGAATCATTATTCCCTCATCTAAATGAATAAAGGTGAAGTAATGTTAAACTGAGAGATTTTATACAGTAACAAAAAAAGAGGTAAATCAAACACCCACCTGGAAATAAGAAAAGTGAAGATTTTAAAAGAAATTAGGTTTTCAAATTAATTCAGTATGTGCTAACACAAAATATAAAGTTTTGCAGCTCACAAAATTTCTTAGTAATACAGACTTCATAACATTCAGCATTCTGAATACCTGATTTAATGAGAACCTCTCACCAAGACACACTGGTTTCTGAATTACATGTATTCCATTGGGAAAGCAGAGAGCAGGGTAACAAAACCAGTAATAGAAGTGATACTTTTTTAAATCCTAGGGGAAAAAAAAAAAAAAGTAAAATTACATAATAAAAATATACATGAAACTAAATGATGGTTTGGAATACTAATTATAACTGATGGTTGATGATACTAATCATAGGAAGCACAGTTCTCTTTACCTCACAAGGCACTGTGTTATGACTTTAGAAAACCACAAAAAATACTAGAAATCTTCCCTTCGCTGTATACATTTTTATTTAAGATTTAAACAGACAACGTGTATACAATCTTTCAGTTTTTATTAAAACTTCTAATTTGTTGAATATGAAACAGTTGCTCTACTTTTAGTAATATGCATAAAGCCATCAGGTAATCTTACAGATTTGTAGAAACTGTATGAGATGGCACCAGTATTTTTTAAAGAATACATCCTAAAATATTTGATAGCTCTACATCAGAGTGGTTTATCAGGTTTTTTAAAAAATGTTTTCAGACATGTTTTCAGAGAGTGATCCTGGTGACATTAATATGGTAACAGTAACACAGCATTTCTCCTTAAAAAAACCCCACTTCATCATCTCTGCTACAATCCTCTAAATATGAGATACATTATCTCTACTCACTGCAAACGTCAGCAGCAGGAATCTGTTCAAGAGCATGGGGTTTTCAAGAGCAGCTCCAGATTTTATTGATTCCCATATCTGTCATTGATTGACAAGAAGGAACAGAAAGGGCAGAAAAACAAAGCAACAAGAAAGCATGAGAACAGCTGCAAAAGCTTTAATTCTTCAAGCTACCTTTAAAGTCTGGAAATTACCACTCCCAGTAATACACTGTGATCCTTTCCTAAGTGATCTCATTCACACTGTTATCTGTGTTAAAAGGATCTTAAAGGTAAGACACAGGAACACAAAAAATTCAGTCTTGAGTGAAGATATGCATGAAAATTTTGCTACTCAATGCCAGCACGCAGACAATCAACTGAATTAAAGGAATCAAGGGTTGGTCAAAGTGAAGTGTCTCAAACAGTAAAAGATTGCCTTAAATTTGACTTTCACTTCTTACCAAGCCATGACATTATATATTTCAGTCTTCTTGCTGTTCTGGAGCTTCTCCATCTCTTTGTCACAGAGATATAATGCAGTAATCCAGTGTTAAACCAGGCACTTGCTGGTTTCTGGACATCAAGACAAACTGGCAACTCCTGTTTAGCTTAAAATGCAGCCTAGTAGAACACCGAATCAAGTTTTTAAAGTATAATTAGTTACTTTCCACTCTCTTGTAAAGAACAGTAAAAAGCAAACATCAAACTATTCGTACCAGAGTAAGTTAGATCTTGAGGCTACTTTTATGGGTATCTCCAATATTTGGAGCAGAGACTATAAGGCACTTCAACTCGTAGAAAGGATTTGGAAATAACTGGTGATTTGATTTTTAGACTCACCTCATTTGCTTCTTTTTCCAGAAGTGATTTTTTATCACAGGATTTGAAAGTCTCAAAAGTGTTGGTATTATACAATGTTCCAAAAGCAGGACAGCAACGTGCTGGTATCGAAGCGTTCCTGAATAAAAGAAGGAACCCCCTGGGAATTGGATAAACCTTTAACATGATCAGAGATAGTAGCAGTAGCTTCCTATGGTGTAAGCTTGCCCCGAACTCATCAAGTGATGAGGCACAGTAGCACAAGTAAACAACACCTCTAATAAAAACAATTTTGTGATCATAATGTTTTATAGAATACCGACTGGTTACAAATACACCTCTCCATTATGACCTCAAAAACAGATAAGGCATCTGTATTGTTTCTAAGCAAGGTGACAGTAAAACATGGATTGAAGATTTAAAAATTCTGTTCAAATGTAAGCTATCCGTGACAAATGTGATTTTCAATAAGAAAAAAAAAATTAGACTAAACTTAGACATCAGTATTCACATAAAGAATTACTCAGTTAAAATTGTATGTTTTAAATATGTCCCAATGGAAGCCTGAAGCAGACAAAAGATTAAGTGGAAAAACTGCTGTTTACAAATACAGGGGGATTTTTTGAAATAAATTAGGTAAAACTCTGCAATATTCCTTTATTTATAGATCTGACGAATTTCACTGACTCCTTTTTAACATCGTTCTCCCAAACTGATATGTTTCTGGTCACTGCTAAAACTTAAATACAGCAAATGTTTAAGTTACATCATAAATACACATGATGTAGCTTCCAAAAACTTTTAAAGCTAAAAGGCACTTCTTCATGATCACCTAAATTGATTACATAAGGTACAGAAAATAACTCTAGTAGAAGGAATAATTAAACCCTACATAAGTGGACCTCTTATAATTTTGTTTCCTTCCTAATGGTTGGGAGCTCAAACACCTCGGTACCATCCCTTTTTTCCTAACTCAAAATTCCTGTTCCCAGTGTCATAGCTGTCTTCCAATTGCACTTTGCTGCATAAGCTTTCAGCAGTGTACCTATATGTTCTTACAAGAATTAATAGGATAATAACTCCTAGGAAATTAGCTCAAAATGCACAAAGCCTCACCAGGCTCCAAACATCCTCACCAAGCAAGGCATGCTGTGATTTACAACTCTATAATCCACCACTTCAAAACAAACAAAACACTAACTATGAACCCAGCTGTTCCTATGCTAATTATACTAACTTAGGCATTTGCTGGAAATTAAAACCACATCGAAAAGATATTTTCCCTCTCATCTTGTTTTTGCTCTGTACACTGAGCAGCTTTGATTTACCTTTCACTTTGGGGTGAAGGCAAAACTACAAAATTCCGCTCAGAAACGTTAAATATTTTGGAAAAGACTGCAATGTAACACCACGGATAGTAAAAACTATTTTGAGATTCTGATTGCAATGATGAATCCTCAGCAACCAAAGATCTAAGGAAACATTTGAAATCGGGTGACTAAAATAGCCTTCTTTACACAGAAAAACTGAAGAAATGGGAAAAATGGTATTTTATAAACAAACATTGAGTGAATTAGAGACTTACCAGCATATTTTAAACTTGGCCCTTCAGATGAATATACTACTTTAGACACAAGGAGCTAGTGTTTGCAACTCGAAGCAGTCTTTCCACTGGTATAAAGTTCATGAAAAGGTATATTTATTCTCCTGTAGAGTTTGTCCAAGTAATATCATATACCTATGTGTAACTGTTATGCAGGAAAGTGTATTCATGCAGGAATTATGGTAAATCACAGTATGTACTTACATATCAAAGGCACTAAACTCCAATGTCAAGCGAGCTGGCAAACCCAAAGGATCACCTGGACAAAAAGCAGCAAGATGCTTCTTTTAAACTGAAATACATAGATGAATTACCTTTTTTTTGTTAACCTAAGTTATAAATTACCCACAGACACAAGAATTCACAGCTCACTCAGCCATATTTTCTAATGTTTCAGCCAAACACCTAAAATATGTTACACAAATACTCAGAAGACTATGGCAGGAGAACTGCCAAGGAAGACGTTCAGTTTTCACCTACCATTGTAGTAGTATCCTTTGATAACTTTGGGGGTCTCATCCAGTCGGTATTCATTGAGTTTCTTCTGGGTTAGTTCGTGCCAGAATCCTGCATCCAAGGCACTACTGAAGGGAGCAAACTGCAGCTTTGAGATTCCAGGATCTACAGGATGGTGTACCTCACCACTGGCAGTGGCCATAATTGTAGCTGATGATCACTGTTAAACAGAATTCTGTAAAAGCAGATATGTATGATAAGTATATACACAATAGATCATTCCACCTATGACTACTCACAGCTACTTTTTTATTATTTTGTTGGATTAAAGTGAAGAACGCCTGTGATTATCTAAGATAAGCATAAATGCTACAAAACCAAGGATTTGTTGCACATTAAAACTAAGATTTTAAAATATTAGTTTTAAAACTCCTCACAAAGACATGAACATAAGCTCATATCCCTCTCACAGCACATCCATTTGCCAAGCCAGCAACTGCCGTTTTCCAAGTCCAGAAGGGAGGTCAACAGCTATTGATTCCAGTTTTGTTCCAACGCTTATCAAATCAACCACCAATCTGAACAGACAACTACAGTTTGAAGCTTGGATTGAATTGAACCGCTACAAGTTTGCTGTCCTGTGAAGTCACTTTTGCAAAAAGGAACTGAGCTTACAAGCTTTTCTTTCACTCTCTTTGGAACAGGGGGAAAGGAACAAGTGGTGGGTTTAATTTCTTAATAACTGCCAAATATCCAACTTTAAGTCAAAGGCAGTTATGCTTTTCCTTACATAGCACTTCTTTAAACAGTCTTCAGTGTAATCCAGCTATGCTTTCTATGCTTAATTTACCCAGCTTAGCTTCTCCTTTTACTGTAACTGCTTTACTTGCTGCTAAGTTGTGGAATATGGTTTTTTGGGAGTAGGTTTGAGGTTTTCCATATCTTTCATGGTGGAAGCTACACGTTTCAGTTCTGTCATGATGTCTTCCTATAAATGGTGTATTGCAAATACCATTTTGTCTTTCCCCTCCACCACCTTTTTCTTACATTCCCTTAATTTTTAGCAGCAGCTGGAATTCATGGCAGTGTGAACTTTGATAGCTTATCCCTTTTTATTAACTCCAAAAAAATCAGTTTCTTGAAACTTCGCGAGTCCTAGAAGTGTAAACATCACAGCTAACCACATGGAACTTTCTCACCATTTTTATAAACTCCTTTTTCTGTGAGTGTAAGAAGTAACATAAATTAGCAAACATTTAACTTTTACTACTACATAGCTGTTAAGCCCTTATAATTTTTTTTCTTTGCAACTGTATGTCACTGAAAGTTTACCATATAACAGGCAAACAATCATTTGTCATACAGACGTTGGCAATCAGAGCCAGATTACAAGGTTGATGTCAAGACTTCCATAATAAAACCTATAATTCAAAGGTTCCCTACCCCCTTTTTTTTTTTTTCTGAAACAAGAACAAGTTGTCACTTTCCTTGCCAGACAAGATCTATTGTAACTAAAAGTTCTGAATTTCCTTCAAGGCTTTTTTCAACTTTTCAAACAGGTAAAGTTTTCATTTTGCTTTTCCCCCCATTATTACACGACACATCCAAGACTAAAGTGTCCTGTCGAGCATTTTACAGGACCAAGAAACCAGTGACAGTACCTATATGTGCATGAGTAACACACACTGAAAATACCAGCCTAAAAGCATCCACTTGGAATGAATTTTAACACCCTCCTTATTTTCTTTATTACAGCACTAAAGAGTTATTGTGTAACTTAAGGAATACAAACAGGGGACCTCACTATGCAAATGCACATGCAAACAGAGGAGCACATGCAATCACCTCTGATGTACTGACTCTTGAAAATCTTACTTATTGTATTTTGATATAAATATTCACTTCCATGCATTCTTAATGCAGTATCAGCAAACCAAGGCACATTTGAGCAACAAATTTTAGAAGACCAAAGATGAAACGTATATATTTTGTGGAGACTGCATGTAGAAATTCACATGCAGCCTCTGAAGGTAAGAAGTGACTAGGAAAATATAATAAATAAAGAGAAGTAGAAAAAACATATTCAAAACTTTCTATGTGGAACAAACCCTGAGTTACAAAAGGGCCCAGTCGAAAATTGTGCTTGAAATGCAAAGGTTTACCAGTATGCCTTAGATATCCTGCCAGCCACGGAATTTGGGAGTATTTAACCCAAAATACAGATGCACTATCACCAGTCTAATTTCTAGCACTTGCTCTTAAATGGGCAGACATTTAAAACCGATCTCATGGAATAGCATATTAAGTGAAAAACACAGCAGGGCTTTTACTAATATTGGTCTTTCCCTTGACAGATATAATTAATCTGTTGTAACAGTCTGATTAGCAGTTTACCAGCATTCAAAACTATCATGAAATTACAGGTCCCCTAACACGTGCGGCCCAGAGGTGGGTATGTCAACGGTACCTGAGCAAAGAAGATCAATATTGCCTGAATTATTCTCTGAAGAGTAAAAAATTTTCAGAGAAACTGCTTCTGGGCTCATGCCCATTTCCAAGCCCATTCTCGGGACAAAGAACTCTCCCCGTGCCCGAGACATTACAGACACACAAAAAGGTCGCGCTGGCAACGGCGCCCCCCGAGCGAGCGCGGCCCCCCCGGCAGGGCCCGGCCCCGCACACGGCGCGCCCGCAGCCCCAGCTCCCGCCAGGGAGCCCCCTGAGGCCTCGGGACACCCCGGCCTGCAGGGGCGAGGCAGCCCGCGGCCGGCGGGACCCTCAGGCGGGCGCGGTGCAGTGCGGGGCCGGTGCGGGGACAGAGCCGGGCCCGGTGCCGGCACTCCGGGGGCAGCTCGCAGGGCTCAGTGCAGCACTCAGTGCCGGGCCCGGTGCCGGCTCACAGCGCTAAGTGCCGGGCCCGGTGCCGGTGCCGGTGCCGGCTCGCAGCGCTCCGTGCCGCCGCCCCCCCCTCCCCCCGCGCTCCCCTCACCGCTCGCTCCGCACCTCCCGCATCGCCGGCCGGCTCCGCCGAGTGACGTCACCCCGCCGCGCGCACGTGATGCGACGGCCGGAGCGGAGCGGTGACGTCACGCGGACGCGCTCTGCCTGCGACGGGGCGGGGCGGGAGAGGCGGAGAAAGGGGATGGATAGAGGGAGGGAGGGAGGGATGGCAGTGTGAGGTACTGTGGGGTGGGCATGGAGTCAAATCCTCCTGAAAGATGCACAGCTTCAAATGGGAAGGAGAAGGGTACACGTGCCAAACCAAGGAAAATCACAATCGTATATATGGGGAACAAATTGCCCAGCGTGGCTAGGTAAGCACTGGAATAGGTTTCCAGAGAGGATTTGTAGTCTCCATCCTTGGGGACTTGACTGCCCAGGCCCTGAGCTGACTTTGATGTTAGCTCAGCTTTGAGCCCGAGGTTGGTCTGTATGGCACCCAAAAGTGCCTTCCAGCCTGAACCTTTTCATGAGCTTATATTGATTTTTTTGCAGCTCTGGAGTACAAAACAAAGCATGTTTTCCACAAAACAAGCATTACCTCTTTATATAGCTTATGCTATTTACCTGTAAGGAAAACAAAAATTGCCAGAGCTGCTTGGTTTTTTTGGGAGAGCACACAATACTGGAGTAATATCCATATTGCAGAAACTGCTCCCAAAATGAGGAGTAAGCCTCAGAGGAAAAGCCACCAGCTAAGCATGGACAAGGTCAAATAATGATAATTGGCCAGGCAGCTTTAGGGGAATATTTTCAGTGCTGCTAGTTATGCAAATTTAGATCTGATGTTTAGATAGAGAACCTTTTTGTGGAGCATGGGCCGAATAGACTTTGCAGGAATTTCACAAATAAAACAAATTCAGAAACTTGGAAGTTTATTCTAGTTGCTATACCTTGTATCCAACTGCATTACATCAGTAAAATTCTACAATTCCTCATTTCACTCATTTTGTTAGTATTGGTAAATCCTTTACTCTGTTGGACACTTATAACACAGTCCTGCAGTTTATTTCCCCAAGGCTGGAAAAGATTTTATTTTATTACTTTTTGGTCTCTATATTCTCTTTTTGCATGAAATTTAAAGGGAATATTGATGACATCCCATCAAAATAGATGAAATGTTGTTCCCAGTCTGCACAGATCTATAACCCAGCTTGGATTCACAGTTTTTGAGCAGTTCCAGTTTCGTAATGTGGTTTCTGCTGCCAGCATATAACACAGGTCATAAGAAATGACAGAAATAACAGGGCAGAGGGACACTCTTCTGTGAACCCACATCCTTGTGTTAACTCAGAGAACTGTTGTTACCTGAAATCAGACTCCAGGAGTTAGATTTCTGCACAGCAGTTGTAGAAATTATGCAGATCTAGGGATTCTTTATATCTAGTGAGAATGAAATTAGTTGCCAGGTAGGATACTGAGTCCAGTTCCCAGGTCTGGCTGTGTTGTTTTTGAAGGCTAAGTTATGTCGTGTCTGATGACGACAAAAGACATTTGATTTTATTCAAGGCCCTCAGTTTAATGACTCAGTAGGAATTCATTTTAGTGACAGTACCAAAATATATCTGAGCATTAGAAATGCGTTTTTGAAGTGAATCTTTCAGTCATTTTCAGTTATTGTGCTTTCACAAAGTACATCATTAAGTGATCTCACAGAAAATTTAATGAAGTCCTTTTAGATGATGGGATGAGGCCCAAGTGGGGCCCTAAACTTTTGTTTCCTTTACTGAGTGCGACATTTCCTGAAAATAATATGGGGGAAAGCAAGTACTAAATGGCAGACTTGCCTGATGCACAGCGTTCCGTGCAGCAGCCCGGACTTCGCTCAGGAGCCACCAGATGTCCCTGTTGACGCAAACATTGTGGGAACAGCTTTTTCTGCCTCTCAAAAGTCAGGTCGGTTGTTCTGACCACACCTTAATCACAACAGAACTGCAACTCAAGACATTCCAAGACCCTTGTTATGTTCTCTTAAAGCTATGTGACCTCTAACCTTGTTTATTAACTGGAAAACGTTGAAATATTTGATGGGAAACCACACCTGAAATACTCTCTTGAGCCTTAGCCCCACGTGGTAGGAAGCTTCTCCACTCCTTACCCTAATTTGCTTTCCTCTCCTTCTCTTACATCCAGAGCCATTTGAATTGCCTATTAACTGAGGTAAACTGATAAATCTTCTTAGGTACCTTGATAATCGGCATTTAAAATAGTGAATTATAAAAAAATAAAATTCTCCTATTCTATTGTTATCTATTACAGCTATCACATCAGAGAAGCCCGTGATTGCTTCCCCGTCTTTATTATTAACACATTTGCACTAAGATCATGGATAAAAATAAAGTGAGATAAACAATATCCAGGCAACTTTATTTGCTTGGGTTTAGCTGTGCTGTGTTCTTTAATTTTACCAGAGGTTTTCCTTGTCATGATCATTATAATTTTTAGAAAAATTTTCAGTTATCTTGATTTTGTTGTTTTGTCGTGTATTAGTACATTTTAAAGTCAGAAAAGACAATTGTCATGATCAAGAAGACAGACTTGTTAATAACTCTGACTAGCCCTTGGGTAAATGTTTCAGCAATGTGCAGTAATAACTGTACCTGACTTAGTGTGCTGCCTTTTTATTTCCTCAGGGATCATCTAAATTACCATCCATTTTGGCTACAATTGCTGTTGCATATCACAATAGAAAAAAAAAATCATAATGGCTGTGAATCTGTGCAGTTGTTTCTGCAAGGCCATGGGATTAGAGCATATGTTTCAAAAGATGGTGCTCTGTACTCCAAAACCACGTGTATTTTATTACTTGTGCAGGTGTTCCTCCTGCAGTGAAAAAGTTGTCCGAATTCTGGTATAAATTTTGTTGCTTTTATATTGTCTCTGCATTTTGCCTTTATTTCTCCTAGATTGAAGTTCCCTAAATGCAGTTTTTCCTGCATGCAACTTGAAACCAAAGTCAATTACTCTCTGAACCTTGTATGTTACATTGAAATAGACTGAATTTAAGTTTATTCCTTTAACAAATTTTTCCAATTTATTAAAATGTAGGTATAGTAGGGCTTCATTTCATATTGAATATTTTAAATACAACTATTAACACTGAGGTGTTGACAGAGAATAATAATACTTTGAATTTTTTTAGAGTATTATATCCAGCATTTATGAGCATCATTCACACATTATCCTAAGTGTTGCACTGTAAATCTTGTCATATTCACTTTATGAAATAGGCACAGAGCGACTCTAAGTAGCTCAAGATCTTTAATTAAGAACATAGATTTAAGAATTTCTCCTCCTACCATTAAACTACCTTTTTTTGCTTCTGATGTAATAAGGATATCACACAGAATGTCCCTTTCACTTATCCCACCAAACTCTGGACAACAGTCAGTTGAAGGAGGCCAAGTGCAATCAGAACTTTGTTGTTAAGCTAACTCAGCAATTTCAGAAGCAAGAAAACATTCAGTTGTGACGAAAACATCATCACAACAAAATGAATCAGAGGAAATTCTTTTTACTTGGAACCTTCAGGTTGCCTCTCTAATCATCCTTCCTAAAATATATGGAATAGATGTACATAAACTCAGCATGACATGCAAATGTGACATTAGCTGTTGAAGTTATCTGATTCTGGGATTTGTCCTAAAGCTAAAATACTCTGCAGTGTTTGCTTAAAATGCTTCTCTCATGTAGAGAAGCATCTCTTGTTCCTAGCAGCAGAACAGGAATGAGAGCTTTACTTTGTGGTGTGCCACAATCAAGGTGCTGTTGTGTCTTGTGATACTTGGCTAGTCCAGGGCCTGAGACGTAGCCTGCCTCAGTTCTCCCCCTTGCTCTCCAGTCTGTACACTCTGCTTTAATTTGGTGTCATTGTTCTGTGATGTTGCAAGCTCCCTGATAAGTTGGCTCATATGATATGTGCCACTGTGTACCGTGCTTTGAATTGATAGAGGGTAGATTTAAATCAAATATAAGGAAGAAATTCTTCCCCATGAGGGTAGTGAGGCCCTGGCACAGGTTGCCCAGAGAAGCTGTGGCTGCCCCATCCCTGGGAGTGTCGAAGGCCGGGCTGGACAGGGCTTGGAGCAACCTGGGCTAGTGGAAGGTGTCCCTGCCCAGGGCAGGGGCTTCAAACAAGATGGTCTTTAAGATCCTTTTCAACCCAAACCATTCTATGCTGAGGGACTGTGTGTTCTTCGTTTGGGAACTAATCTATTCTTGATTGAACTTAGGAAGAGGGGATTGATTCCTGTTGTGTAACAGGGCCTGTCTGGTTCTGACAATTGATCAGTACTTTGAAACAGTTAAATCAGTGGCTGAGGAAGTGAATGCTCAGAGTTGGTGGCATGAACCTTATCTGCAAACTCCTCTGTCAAGGCTGCCTCCCAGCTTTTCCACGTGAAGCTGTTTTTACAGATGTTTGTCGTTCAAAGGTTGGACTTGATGATCTCGAAGGTCTTTTCCAACCGGGTTGATTCTATGATTGTGGGTAAAGGCCCTGAGCAACATCATGTAATGTAAAAGCCAGCCCAGATTTCAGTTGTAGCTTGTACTTAGATGTTTTTTTGAGATCTCTTCAAAGACAGACTATTCTATTATTGTGAGTTTTTTCTGAAATATTTTACAGCATTTGCAATAAGATTTATAAAATGTAATTAAATATAAAGGAAAGAAAAGGTAAGCATGCTTCATGTATAATCAACTGCAAGCCTAGAAAGAGCATCCCACTGTTCTTGAATAGATAGTGACAGCATGGAAAGTCTTAGCAAAATTTCTAGGACATAAAAGTACTATTTTTTTCAGCAAAGTCAGTGTACAGGTACAAAAGGAACAAACATGATATCGAAGAGATACATTAGGGTACAATATGACTTGACATTTCATAAAAAGTTTATGACTTTGGGGGAAGCTATAAATAAATATATTAGATTTTCTTAAACAGTTGAAAGTTCTTTCTTTGACTATGCAGAATACCTCCACTTGCAAATCCCACTTCACAAGCAGTGTGTTCCTCTGTTTAATGGAGTAAGTTGAAAGAGAAAAATATATTTAGCCAATCACAGAAGT